AAAGTTCACATACTTCATATTTCTCAAGAGTTTATCGCAAAGCGACGGAATGACAACTTTTGGACCACAAATGATAGAGAAAAGTAATATGTAGGATGCATTTTGACACAACTTTCTGTACAATTCAATCATCTTGTCTATGAAAACTAACTTGGCGTAACTTTGAAGAAGAACTTGAAGTAGTTGATTATTTCTCAATTTTCTGAAATATACTCAAACAAGGAGTACTACTGTGTGAAGTCACGTCTCTTATTATTTGTATCATTTTGTGACCACAAACCTTTGAAACGGTGAACTTGAGTGTCTTTTGGTTTTTGTCTTGTAAGAATTGAATACAAGTTTAGACAATAATGTCTTGTCGAAGAAACTTGTTATGCTGTTGCCGTGAAACATAGTTTGGCGACTAGTTTGCTCTGGTACAAATAATATGTGGCGATAAGCAAGTTGCATTTTTTGTGCCATTCACAATGAATTGCAAGATGAAAGTCTTTTGTGGACCAAAGAATATGACAGTTAGTGAAATGATATTCTTCTGGTTTTGATGCAGGAGACTTGTATTTATTGAAAACAATGTAGTTATCATGTACAATTAGGCTTTAAGTGATCTCACAGAAAAATGTTGGTTTGGATGGTCTTGACGCGACAGAATGAAGTCTTGTAGAAGGATGGATATGGTTCAATCTAAATAGTCTATTTTACTTTGCGTTCTTCCATACTTAACTTCAAGACATGAGTAGAAAGATTGGCAAATATTTATATTCTTCACATTAGAAAATAGTATCAAGAACTCATTTTTTGTTTATTTTTTCTTTGTTTGAACATTTTCATGAACAAAGAGTCATCATGTCAATGCAGATGAAAGCCATAGCTTGGCATTGGACTTGCCAATACTTTGATATCCTTTGACACAAGCCAAGTGCCAGTCTATTTCGTTTGTATTTTCTTAAAACTTTCCACATTCTAATAAATGTTGTAGCAAGAATTCTTTTCAGAAACTGCAAATACTACGAATCGCTTGTATGGAAACAACTCTAGTTTGCAGTGTTCAAAGAACCATAAGATTATGGCTCTATCATATGCATATGATATCCTAAAGAGATAGGAGTTGGCTCTAGTGAAACTGTTTGTGAGACCCAAACCGTGCAATCTATGTAGGATTACAAATGCTCACAATGAATGAAGAAAATTAATTATGTCATAATGACCATATGTTTACAATGTCCATCAAAAGCATCCACAAAGTAGCAGAATGAAATGCAATTTGGCGTATAAAGGAAATACCGTATATTTTGAATCGATGGAGAAGAGCGAAATAACTCGAGAAGACTATGGTGAGTTTATAGACGTATCCTGAGCGTATTCTGTTGATAATTGATATTCTAGAGAAACTCAAACTAGAGATTTCAAGAATCGAAGCTGAGAGAGCAAGGTTACAAACAGAGAAGGAAATCTTGTTATATAACATATCTGTTTTATTCCGGACTGCAAGAGAAGAAATAAAGAGAAAGGACTCCACAATAAGTAAGTAGTACGGAAAAGAGAAGATAAAATCACCAAGCAACGCTGTTTATATAGCTAGTCTGCGGAAATCTTTGGAGAAATATGAACGACCTTCTTGTCAATAATAATAATAATAATAATAATAATACTTCTCATAAACGAACACTTGGCGGTCCATACGAATTGTTTATCAACAGCTCTCTGTATGAGTACAACTATATCTCTTTTTGCTATTTTCCTTTTTAAGAAATAAGATGCTTGCTTTCAAGTACGAAAGCAATGATAATGATGTTACTTTTCAATCTCGGTACACAAGTTGAGATTGTCAACTCATTAATAAGATAAGGTTGGTTCACTGCTAGGATAATCACTCTTAATATTACACAAACTCTCGCCTTTCAAGTTCATTTACTGGGAGCCAGCTTGAGAGTAGCAAAAGATGAATGATATCTCAAAACTATATTTTATTATTTGAAACAATCAGCCACTCATATCATTCCTAAGTGACTTGCATTTCTATATTTGTCTTGAAGAAGCCGAAATACGGCACGCATCCTATATGCTATTGTACGTTGATTATTATTATTAGCACTGATTTGGTGACAAATGTGTCTTACGACTTGAATCATTCTAGTGGTTGTTATTCATCTAGCTATAGCGTTGGAGATTTCCTAATTCCTGATAATTGCGGATTGGTTATTTCTTCTGAAGCCGAAGTAGAATGGTAAAATTCAAGGAGCGCATTCTAGTCTGTGGACGATCCACTTTCGAAAAACAACGCCTTTTCACCACTACAAGAAACGTATTCATCTCTTTCTAAAAGTATTCAGGAATATCTTGTCTTTGCTTTTTTCTTGAATGCAAAATAAATATCTTAGAATTTTTTTAAAAATACTTTCTAAAATCGTCATATATTGGATTATTTGTTAGATTTGACAAAGTACTTCAATTCATTTCTCTAACCACAGTTGCGTACTTTTTGTTAAGCCTTCATTGTTGCATTTTGTGTAATCTATAAATGAAGCTTATGGCAACAAAGCTAAAATCTTACTTGAACACATTTCTATTTCTTTCAATGAAAACGAAGATTTGGGTTCAACTTCAATATCTTCAAAACTTGGAAATTTGTTGCCTCATATTCCCATATGTGTCTTCAGTTTTGTTCTATTCTTACCAGGAAGAGTATTACGTTCTATTTTTTTCTCGGAAGAGCTAGTTGACGGAGTATCTATCACTCCAAGTCCTTTATTTTCTTCAAAATATGTACAAGTAGATATATTTTGACTTGTAGAGTCCCTTCATGAAAGAAATATAGGATGAGTGTATCCAAAAAGGAGAGTTGAGGAAGTCTCGGTTTCAAATGTAAAACAATATTTACTCTTATTCGACAGTGTTTTTATTCCAGATTGGGTGAATTGAGTCTTTATTGTCATAGTCATGTAGAAAAAGTATCGATAATGGCTGCGAGGAGGGAAGAAGAATTAGGAGTGGATCCCATTAAGAAGTATCTTCCAGCATTGAGGTCCACATTGTGTAATATTCATAGTGCTGCAGAAGAGACTTATCATGTGAGTGCTTGGTGGTAATTATTTGAAGTTTATTTATCAAATGATATAATTTTTATTTTCCACGAGACAAAACTCCTGCGGACCTGATTTATTCTTGTTCGGCTTGGAAAACAGCAAAGAGAATTTTTACTATTTTCGTTAACGCAAGTCCTCTGAAAGGCAAAAATTTATGAAACTTACAAAAGATGTGAATCTTGAGAAGAACAATATCTACTGGAATAGGAGGTCGTGAGATATTAGTGTCTCAAGTTCTTGCACGAATTTCAGTCCAAATAACTAGTATGATGCAGGTGTTTGGGAGCATGCAAACCTGTCGAAGAAAGATTGATCATCTGATAGACCAAAAATACATTTGATCGTTCTCATAGCTTTCCAGTTAGATCTCATAATACAACCAGACTATTCTTTTCAATCCACGAAGCAGTTAGTGATAAACAAATCTCCTGTGACAGTTACAAACTTTGTTGTTCATTGATATAACACTTTTGACAAAATTATCACATGCCATCAGATACAACCTACTGGAAGATGAAAATCATCCTTAAAAAGTCATTTAAACTTGGAAAAGAGAATGCTTGTTCCTATCTATTATTGTTTGATTGCACGACTTTTGAAGTTACTTATCTGAATCAATATTAAAACACATCCAAGATGATAAGGTTGGGACATCAAATTGAAACTCTCTCTGTTCCATTTCTATTGGTCTCATTTATCATTCGTAGACTATTCAAACTATTTTCTGGACTTGTCAATCGACAGTACTCTGAAACATATCTCTAGTGCCAAAGTTTGTGATATTAGATTTTTTTGTTATCTGCTCCACTCATGATGTTGCGTCATTTGTTTCTTATTTTCAGGATTGTGAAGAAAATGAGCATGAATTTGAAAATTCACCAAGAATCCAATACCACTCTATCCTACGACAAGACCATATCGACTCCAAACATAATTTTAGGGCTTCACCATATTCTATCAGGTTCTCAGTTTTCAAGAACAAGTTCTCTGATAACAACAATGGAGAATTGTTGTAGAATCTCGTAAACTTTATTCATTATTAACATGGCAAAATCTCAATAACACTCTGATGTAATGCCAAGAGTTTCCATTTTGACAAAGCTTCTTTGAACTCAATATCTTGTTTATCGTCCCTGGAACCCCAAACTTTAAAGTTTGTGTAGATTTTAAATTTCTTCCAATTAAAAGGCAGTCAACTCTTACAACATGATTCTATGCCTTTATATGTAGTCAATGCAAGAAATTCATTTACATTGTTTCTTAGAAGCTATGCAAGGAAGCTGCTCATATCAAAATAGCATCTCCATCACTCTAAGAGTATCTCTATCCAAAAAAAAAAATAAAATGTTGAAGCTTTTTATTTTTGGAATTCAACAGTTGACATGCTTTTCACTTTAGTTGCCAAAAGTCAACCTCTCTATCTCAACAATGCCTTTACAAACCAAGAGATATTCATCTTCTTCAAATCCACATATGTTTGTCCAACTCCAACAAACACGATCGGTATATTGGTTGAGTACACCATAGACACTGCAGCTCCCACTTTATCGTCTATGCTATCAAATTTGGTTAATATAATACCGTCGATCTCGCGCGGTTTGTTCGTATTTTGGTTATCAATCAAAGCATCATTGAACTTGAGGAGTTGATCAACGGCATCGTTTCCGACTAAAGCTTCACCCACAAAGAAAACTCTGTCAGGCTTATTCAAATTTACCAACTTGGCCAAGGCTTTCATAAGAGGTTCATTGTCTTGCATACGTCCGGCAGTATCGACCAGCAAAACATCCACATTCTTCTCTGAAGCATAATGAATAGCATCTGAAGCCACGCTTGAAGGATCCTTTGCATAACCTTTCTCAAACAGTTCCACATTTAAACAACGAGCATGAATGCGTAACTGTTCGACTGCACCAGCTCGAAATGTATCACAAGCAGCGATCATAACTTTCAAATCATTAGACTGAAGATAATAGCAAACTTTGGCCAAAGTAGTGCTCTTTCCAACGCCATTCACACCACAAAATACAATTACAAATGGTTTGCCTGTTTCACGACGCTTATTCACAATATCCGCAACTAGATCATCACTTTGTCTCGGAGTCAACATTCTTGCAACGGAAATCTCCAAAGCATTTCGAATGATGCGACTAACACTACCAAAAGTATCCAGTTTGTTACCTTGCAATGTAAGTCCAACACTGTCACAAAGTCTTTGTGCAATGTCGGAAGCCACATTCTTGGTGATGAGGGTATCTCGAAACTTGTTAAGAACGGGCTCCAAGTCTTCTTTTGTTAACTCCTTTTTGGTTGTCAGTCCCTTAAAAAAAGATAAAACTCCTCGGGAAAGTAATGTTCCAGAAAACTTTCTTTCTAGAGATGTACCATTTGTGCCTTTAAACTCTTCTTCTTCTTTTTCCCATTCGGTAAAACTTTCGGAATCTGAATTGGATTTCTCATCTTCTTCAACTTGAGGAATGAAATGTGAACGGAGTGATTCAATTTTCTGATTGACCTGAGACTCTTCTTCATCTTGGTTACTATTGATCAACGAATAGTCTAATGCCTTTGCTTCCTGTTTGGACAACTTGTCACTGAGTTTACCCGTATTTTTCTTTCCTCTACTGGTAGATAAAGTTTCGTCCTTTTTAGTTTGCAAGGAATCATGTCGTTTTGATTCCGGCTTTTTCATTTTCTTTAGCTTCAACTTTTCGATGTTTCGGCGAATTCTCTCTTGTTCATCTTCTTCCTCTGTTCCATTCTGTGTTTGCGTCTCTGAATGGCTTTGGTATTTTGCCTCTTGTTTCGTGTGGTGGTCTCCTGCCTGCTGTTTTTGAACAATGGGCGTATTCTGAGGTTCTTTCTTATGTCCTCTCCTATTTTTCTCTTCTTCTTCAACTGGTTGCGGTAACTCTAGATCCCCATCTTCCGAATTTCGCAATATTTTTTGAAAATCTCGAGCGAAAGCTTGATAAAAGTCAGTTGTTAACAATTGGTATTCATCTTGTAGGAGTTCTTTGAACCGTTTACAAAACGAGTCTTTGGTTTGTTCCAAGAGCACGTTGGCATAAGAAATGGGTAGCCTTCTAGGAAACACTACAGCAAATACTAAACCATGCTGATTAGAGAGTGTCCATTTTACCTATTTATCATACAATAACTTGAGAATACAAAGTAGATAGTCCTGTTTGACCACTTACTGTAAAGTTTCCATATGACAATTGTCCCAAGCCTGCTTTGTCAACCAAAAGAACGGACCTTATTAAACGGTCAATAGGTCGACCTTCTGTATGAATGAGCGCATCATAGAAGAGCACAAACCCTCCTCTAGTAAAAATAACGAACAAGTCAATCATCCCTTTAGGGAATCTCTTTGGCTCCAACGAATAAAAGCAATTATTGGGTCGAATAATCGTTTTGTCCGGACTCCATCCTTTATTTTTCAAAAGACAATCCAAAATGTGCCTAACTTTTACAGCCAACGTTGCAATTGAAAGAATCTACGGTTAGTCTCCACTAGCTCTCTTTGAAAATTCTTTGTCTCAAACTTCAAGTTGGAATACGTTGTTCCACAGACTTCAAAGCTTCTTCAATAAGTTTCGAATCACCCGTTCTTATGGCATATTCAAGTTTAGATACATCATCAAGTGTCTTAGCTCCTTCAATAGCTTTCTTCAAACGCTGTTTCTGCTCCTTTGTTGGACCTTGTCCTTCCAACTCTCCGGGAACAAAAGTTTTCGGTGCAGTTGAAATAGCTTGTCTCAACTGTTCTCCTTTTATACCAGAAAACAATTTTACTGCATATTTCCGTTCGGCGTCTTTCACTTTTTGAAAATCTAGCACACGAATCCACGGCATTAAGAAGATGATATACTCCCTATAGTGTTTTTGTCTGGTAACAGGATTCCCTACCAAAGATAGACGACGCAGGTTCTTACAATGCACTAGTTCGTTCAAGTCGGATAAACTTCCCAGGCGATTGTAAGTAAGAATGAGGGAAACCAAGTTGGGAAGTGACTTGCCAACATTTTTGCTGACTCGAACTACTTTGTTATTATTGAAAAGAAGTGTATGAACTCTTTCCGAAAAAGGAAAATTTTCTAGTCGTTGAACTTCATTATCTGAAAAGTCTAACGTTTCAAACAAATCGATAACCGTCACCAGGTTTTCAATCACGGCAATTTTGTTTCCTGAGCTATAGTTGAGAGTTAAAAAAAACATAATAGGCTACAACAAACCTCGAAGATCGAGTTCTCTATCTCCTAAGCAGTTTAATATTTGTGGTGCTCGAGATAGCAGTTCTGGAGTAATTCTCATGATTGCCAAAGAAGCAGAGAAGACTCCCAACAACAAGCGCCAATCATTTAATCATGGCTTTTCTATTATGTCGTAGTTATAGTTAGATGAGTTGTAAATAATCAAAAGAGTGAAATGTATCGATCTAAATAAAAATTTTTGGTCTGTGGAATAAGAAATTCTTTTCTTGTTCCATCTAAAATGTCATCGTTATTCAATGTAACATTACCTATCAAGGAAGACCTTCCAGCAGGAGCAGATCCTTATGAAGAGTTTGACTTTGTTCCTTATTTTCAAGAAGTAAAGAGTGAAGAAGAACTAAGAAATACTTGGAGGGTGTTTACCAAAGTAAAGGATGTACTCGACAACGGAAGAAGACTGGAAAACGCCAGGCAAGTCCATATCCACCACTAAGTTGAACAACGTACTTACTTTTAGGATGGATATCTTACAGTTGGAGATTATGGTTTCGTGAAAGAAACAAAGCTCAAGAAGCCGGAGTTGATGCTTCACAACTATCGGAACTTGAACAATATGAACTCAACGTAAGCGAATCACTGAAAAAGGCAGAGGCTGAAACTGAAAGAATGGTGGGAGATATATTCGGTCCTGAAAGTATGACTATGGAAGCAGAGACAAGACGTGCTCTACAAAGACAAGAGGCAGAAAGAGTTCGAAAGTTGTTGGAGCTTGGAGAAAAGTTTGAATGGAACACGCAACAAATCAACGCGGTTCTTCAGTGGGTTCGAGACGATGTTTTAGCTTCAGAAGAAGTAAAGACTCCTTCTTATGAGTTGATTCCCTCGTCATATGAAGAAGCTATGCAACTGATTCAATCGTCTGGTCTCATGTTGCGCAAGAAATGTGCTGCTTTTGCACATTCGTTTGAAAGAAATGGTGCCAATAACTTTTTACTCTATTTGGTTCGAGAATTGAGAGGAATTCTGGAGTTTTCTGTATATTCACCTAAAAAAGGTCCCATGTGGGAAGACTTTCAATCTATTGGTGCAGAACCATATCCTTTTGATCCTCAAGACCAAAAGGCACTTGGTAAGCTTATTTCTCTTTGTTGATAGGTGAAGTTGAAAGAGAATTGTAGAGGAAATATTATCCAAATATGACTGTTGCTTAGCAAATACGATTATGCAAGCACCCGTTATTTTAGTTGCGTCACATATTCAGTTGAGAAATGTCTGGGTTATTCATGAAGCTTGGCCAAAGGATCAAATCGAATACTACTGCAAAGAAGTATTTTTAATGAAACATTTAGATGCAACGGTTATCACTCAAGCATTTGGCAAAGCTGATAGAATAGTATTTCCAGCAAAGGTTCAGGAGAATTGCTACCAAGGTCTTTTTGAACCATCCAAAGCAAGTGTCATTTATAATGGTAAGTTCTCTGTTGAATATATCTAGCCAAGTATTATGAAGAAATGGTTAGGTATTCCTTTAACTGCAATCAATGCCTTTCGTGCCACGCAATCTAGAAATAGAACTCGTTCTGAACTTGGATTTTCAGCCAACGATATTGTATTGCTTCATATGGGAACTGTTTGCAAGAGGAAAGGACAGTTGATTACAGCAAAAGCCTTTTCATTATTGAAGAATGATCCAGAGGTAATTCTGTTTGTAGTTTTATCAACGAAAACTGAATTATGTATGTAACAGATTCAAGCTATGAAACGGGGTTTGAAGCTTTTAATGGTTGGTGCACGATATATTCGACAACATGAGATTGAAGTATGTTGATGCTTGATATTATTTTTGGTCTGAAAACTGATGTGCTATATAGTATATTGATGCTATTAAGAAGGAGTTGGAGGGCAGTGGTTCTATGGAATATGTACGAATATTGGATGTACAGAAGAATGTTCTTCCATTCTATCATGCCGCAGATATTGTATTATGTCCTTCTTTAAATGAAGTTCTTCCTTTAGTTATCTGTGAAGCGATGGCCTTTGAGAAGCCTGTCATTGCTACAAGTATCGATGGAATTCCAGAAGCTGTTACAGATAGTGAAGAAGGCTTTCTCATTCCACCGGGAGATGAAAAAGCATTATATTTGGCTTTGAAAAAGTTGTTATTGGAACCTAACTTGATAACAACTATGGGAAAGAAAGGAAGAGAAAGGGTTCTGCGTCAATTTTCGTTTAGAACCATGTCTGATAAGTATCGAGCATTATTCAAAACAGCGTTGGAAGACAATGCTTGAGGTTATTTGTGTCTGACTTGCTTGTGTTTGGGATTTTATTTGTTTCCATAAAGCCACGTTTTCATTTGTTATTTGTGTTGAAATATGTCGATCATGTGAATAATAGCCAAAATCAGTTGGCCAAACAAAACCAATCCGAATCATATTAAGTGATTGATTGGAGGGAGAAGCAGTAGCAGGATATTCTAGTGCCTGAACAGTATGTCCAAAATACTTTGGGGAAGAACCAAATCCAGAAACCTGGAAGTGGAACATTGGATGCACTCTTTAGAAGAAGTCGAACAAGTGGTCAAGTCAGTGGAACCCAAGTTGGTTTCTACCACAGCGAAATGGAAAGGTAGGCTTATGGTGGTTGGGAGACTCAAGCTGAAAATAGGATTGTCTAGGAATTGCACAAAACTGCAAAGATATAGCTACCGACCTGTGTCAAATATTCAATAAGAACGACCCACATTATGAAGTTTTGTTGGCTTCTTATACTTGTTCGAGAAAATTTGAAGATGAACAACACCAGGTAACCAAAGTAAGTCTACAAGTGTTTGTCCCTGTCTCTCTCGTACTTAAAACGACGTTTAGACCAACCAACTTAGAGATAGAGCAGTGGAGAGATTGCGCCATTATTTATCAGAAATTCAACAACTAAAGGCACAGATTGTTGAAGAACACAAGTTGCGGACAAGACTAGAGCACTACCAAGCAAAAGTGAAAGACTTGGAAAACAGGCACTCTGATAGCAACAAGCTGGAACGAAATATTGCCAAATTGAAGGATGTGGACAACCGTTATAGAAACTTTACCTACGAGCTAACCAAACAGATGGAAGTATGTTGGAAGAAACATGTTTCTTTATTTGCTGAAGCTTGTGTGGCGTTGTGGTATACAGAGTTTAGTCTTTCAGCTAAATTGTTCGAGTCTGCAGAATCTATTCGACCATTCATAGCAAGACATTTACATTCTCTTCATGACAATAGTGCCCATCAACATTCCCATATACTTACAGTGGCCGTTTCACAGGTTGATAATAATCATAATGATGATGATGATTATGGTCAAATAGAGCAACAAAGTCCCATATCGGAAGAAGCATTTGGCTCATTGGAATGTAACTCTTTAGATGCCACAACTTCACAACTGGACAGAACCCATTTATTGGATCATGTGTGGAGAATGAGCTCTGTTTTGAACAGTAGTAGCAGTAGTAATAATAGCAGCTATAGGCATCCTGAACAACCCAACACGTCAAGTATAGGAAGATCGACCAAACAAGGAAATAGTAATGAAGCATATTCTGCAGTTTCACAAAGTCCTCAAACCAATCTGTAACTTGGTCAAAATGGAGGGTTTGAAAGCAACAGCAAAAAGTCTATTTGAAAGAGGAATGACAAGTATAACTATGTTTCGAAGCAAGCCATTTTACAGGAATGATATTTGCCCTCGATACGAGAGTAAACTACCTATTTTTCTCTATGAGTATATTCTTTTTCAACAAGTTCGTTGTCTCAACACAATATAACAGCCTTGTGATACTTTTTCAAGAAGCCTTGGAAGTATTTGTTTTTACTTTCCTATATCCTTTTACCGCAGTCGGATGTTCCTTGGCTACTTTCCAACGTGCCTTGCGAATATTGTTCTCGTCCGTTTCATACTGATAAATACACTCGGTCATATCTTGTAGTTGTTCTTGACAAGCCCAAGAAACAGAAAAAGTTCGCTTCTATCATAGTGGATTGTGTATTTCTTCCCATTTATACAACAAAAAGACATACCTTTGAACACTCTTTAAACTTCCGAACCAAAGCGTCACAAGCACTCCAAGCTTCTTTTTGTACTTCTTTTGGAACCTGATTTTCTCCAAAGTGAAGTAAGATGGGCTCATAAAGTTGTTCTTTATCTTTGCTTTCCATACAGTTTTCGTCCGGGTTCAGTGTGCCAAATGATAGATAAGTAGGAAGATAAACACTATTCGTTATGATCACCACGAAACCGATTGACATAAGAAGGATGGAAATTTGTTGTTTCCATGAACAACACTTCGTCAGAATCGTCCTTGTTGCCTATAAAGATCAGTTATCGCTCCACTCAATATCGCCTTTTCGTAGAAAAATCTTGTAAAGTATTGGAGTTGAAAAGAAAGATAAGAGAACTAGTGGATATACAAGTACCTATTTTAACTCTGTTGGTTGCTGGAAAGAAGCTTCAAGACGACCAACAACAACTTGTTTCATTCTTCAACCAACAGAAAGGAGAGTTGCACATACTGGTTTTAGCAAGTTCCTCAGAAGCTGTGCAACAAATACAACAATCTAAAAGTGACCCTTTGATGAGACCTTTGGAGCAACAAAAGTCTATAAATAGGCTTCCATCAAGAAGGAGAGACTCTAAACGTATGTTTTGTGAAGTAGTTTCATTGGAAGGTTTTTTAGATAAACAAAGAGCACAGGAAATACTTGAACGCTTAGCCAGTGAGCGCGGTGTATTAACGGTGGTGGAGAAATACAACTTGTCAATTACTCGTATCAAAGAGATGTATCCTTGTGGAAAAGTAGGAATAGACCCTATATGTGTTTTAGGGTTGAACAAAGGAAACGAAATACAACTTAGACTTCGAACGGACGATTTGCAAGGTTTCCGAAGTTATGATAGAATTCTAAAAGTACTGTTCCACGAGTTGGCACACTGTAGATATGGAAAACATAATAGAGAGTTCTATGCCTTTATGAACCAGCTTGAAAAAGAAGCGGAAGCAGCAGACTGGACAAAACATGGTGGAAGAAGATTACTGGACAGTGTGGCTAGTGAAGTGCAGCAAGTAACAACAGAAGAGTCCTCTCGAGGATTATTGGGTTATAATGGAGCTTTGGGTGGGAAACCGAGAAGGAAAAGTCCTCGTGAAGCTGCAGCAGAAGCAGCAAAACTGCGGATGAATAAAGCAAGTCAGTGTATGGAAAGAAAGAAGAATGATGATTCAGTTGAAGATGACGAAACTTTATCTGACAACAATATCTGAAAATAACATGTATAATAGGTTCATATTCTTCCAAAGATAGGAAAGAAGGAAAGTTTGATGTTTGGAAATAGTTGTATAACATGTTGTTGGTAAAGAGTGAATATGAATTGTTGAGTTTTCCTATTTTTATACGAAAGCCTTGCAATAACATAAATTCAAATGATTTCTTATAGTTGGAAAACCAAAACCACAACTTTCCATTCTTAGATCGAGAATGGATTTGTTGTGAACGAGTGGGTTGGTTTATCACGTTTCCATTTGAGAGTTGTGTAAACGGTTAGTTTGTATTCGCTATGACGGGTTTATTAAGACCCAATATCTTGCGACCAAAACTATAGATTTCTGAATAATATATGTCGGTTTGCTAGGTTTCCAAGTTGAAGAGGTCGATATTTGACTATGTCCCAAGGCTCCACGTTAACTGGAGAACAACAAGTCGAAAATAATCCTAACCTAGGTGATTCTATGGATGGAGGAAATAGTAAAGTAGCCTCGGCTGAGCCTCTTCCACCTCCTCCTAGACGTGGAAGTAGTGGTTTTCCTAGAAGAGGTTCAAGTAGGTTTCGTTCTCGAGGCCAAAGAGGACCTTTTACCTCTTCCCATTTTCGAATGGCGCAACAACTTGTAACAACTGGAAAACACGGACAATATATTCAAAGTTTAGGTCGTCGACAACATAGAGACTGGGATGAGTCTTTTGAAGGAGGGTCTCGCGTCGCTGGTTCAAGGGAGCAATACCCATTTCACGACCCCTTTTATAAGAAAAGGAGAAAGAGCTCCAGAGATTCACACTGGTCTTCTGATGAAGAGACGGAACCCTTGTCTTTCAAAGAGTTTTTGTCTCGTGAAGACAATTCGATTACTCCGGAACAAGCGCAAGAAGCATATAAAAAGTATAAGAAGGAATTCTACAAAAGGAAGCCCAAATATTTTTTTGAGAAACATATGAACGAAGAATGGTTTTGTGAAAAGTACCATCCCAGTAAAGTCCTGGAACGTGTCAACAGAATTAGACAAAGTTGCAAGGAACAAGTTGAACGGTTTAAAGAAATGTTAGGGAAAGAATCTATTGACACGCTTGCTCCTTCTTTGGAAGCCAAACAAGAAGTTGTTGAAACAACGAATGTGGATGGAAACGATAATGGAAAAGTACAACACAAGGATGAAGAGGAAATGAAAGAAGAAGAAGAAGAAGATAATGACGATGATGATGATACTTTTAAAGAACAACAAATTATTCATTCCAATAATATGAATATGGAATCAGAAGGAATATCGACAACCGATTCAGAGCCTTCTTGTTGTGTTTTCCTTCGTGGAATACCTTGTTGGATGAGTCGCCAGTTATTAGAGAATACTTTGAAATATGTCAAGAAGGAGGATAAGTGGGAACCCATACAATTATTGCGTTTAAAGCTTAGTGAAGTAAAACCAGAAAAGAATTTGGAACGTTTTGGTTGGGCATATTATGAAAGTGTGGATGAAGCCTCAAGGGTAATGGAATACTGGAATGGACAAAAGTTATGGAAACCAAATCAAGAACAAGAAGACAAGTCAGAAGATAATTGTTATGTGTTGGATATGCGCTTCAATCACGAGCCTCGTAAGAAGTATGACAAGCGTCGTAATACTCCAGTCATATTGCCAGAATTATTTCAATCTGCTCGTCGTTTGGAACATGATGCCAAACAAATAGTTTTCGTTATGAGACATTTAGATTATCTTCGTGATATCTCGCAACTCAATCCATTGACAGATGAAATGTTGAATGGCTTATCTACTGAAAGAAGAATTGATGTTTGTTCCTTTTATTTGAGGTTTGTTCACGGCTATTGTTATTATTCAGGAGTAGAATGTGTAGATCCCGATGATGATCCATTACCACCTGCACCATTGAGACCTCCTAAGAAGGACAATAATATGTCAGAATATCAAAAGGGAGGAGATGTGTTGGAATCGAATCGTAAGACAGGAGCTGAATGGCGAGTAGATGAACCTGTGAATGCTATTCTACAACGAAATTATGATCATCCTAAAGGAACTGTTTCTATTGATAGTGAGTCACTTCGGGAAGAGAGAATTGCAGAGTGGTTGGAAGAAAATACCAAATATGAAGGTCAAGGCCGTTATCGTTGTTCACTTCCACCTTTTAAACTTTTTCAAGGAAAGGAATACGTAAGTCTCATTGGGTTTTGTTGAAATAGGATTGGATATATATGTTTAGGTACATAAACATTTGAGAACGAAACATACCGAAGAAATGCAAAAAGTAATAGAAAAGGCAGATAAGGAACAATTTATCGAAAATTATCTCAATGATCCCAACCATTTGGACGATAGCAAAGTATTTGATATTCGAATGGGCAGAAAGTAAGTGTTATGGTTGGAATAAATGAACACACTGAATCATACTTTATAGTATGTCTTCAGGTTATATGCCTGTATTACTACCTTCTGGAATGGTAGCACCAATGCAGTTTGTTCCTGGCTCGTTTCATACAGTGCGTGGCTCCCATCTTTATCGTGGAATGAAAAGAAGAGGTAGAAGAAGAGTTGGAGGTTTAAGGAATTCTGGAATGGGACACTCAGATCCTCGAGCAGCACAAGGTCCTCGTCATTATGCAGACTTGGATGCTCCTCCACAAGGTGGTCCTTCAGTAGATACTTTGTTATCCGAACTTCCTGATATGGATAGTTTGTAATAGATGATGAACGATTAGAATTGCCTATTCCCAATTAAAAAAAAAGAAAGATTCGTGTTGAACATTGGTTTGGAAAATGACCACTACGCACTCCAATACTACAAGTACCATAGCTTGTTTGGTCATAGGAATGGCAGGTTCTGGAAAGACAACTCTTGTACAGGTTGGTATATGTGACTGTCCATTCCACACAGTAACTGTGCCTGTCAAAGAGACTGGCAGCTGAATTGTCTACAAGGGATCTGTGTACTTATCTAGTGAACTTGGATCCTGCAGTCATACAAATTCCATATGAACCTAACGTAGATATTCGAGATACTTTGAATTATAAGGATGTGTGTATAATCCACTCGATTGGTCTACTGATGTGTTCATAAAGTGTGTATTTAGGTTCAAGTGGAGTTTCAGTTGGGTCCCAATGGAGCCATATTGACTGCGTTGAACCTCTTTGCTACCAGAATAGACCAACTTGTAGAGTTGTTGGAATCAAGAGAAGAACAGGTCGATACTTTTGTAGTGGATACTCCTGGACAAGTCGAAGTATGAAATACGAGAAGAATAATGTTGACCTTTATATGATAGTTGAATAGGTATTTACGTGGTCTTCTTCGGGTTCTATTATAGCAGAAAGTATTGCTTCATCTTTTCCAACTATTTTGTTGTATGTAGTAGATACTCCTAGGGCAACTAAACCTTTAACCTTTGTGAGCAATATGATGTAAGATGCGGTTTGAGTATTGATTGTGGTTTGACTAGTTTCAGTTATGCTTGTAGTATTATGTACCGTATGCAGTTACCACTTGTTGTTGTATTGAATAAGAAGGATTTGGTTTCTACAGAGTTTGCTCAACAATGGTTGAATGACTTTGATACATTTGACGAAGCCATGCAGGTAAGTGTTGTGTAGCAAGATAGATTATCCTATTGGATATCAATTGAAGAATGTTAGCAATTAGAAGGTGATTATTCTTCCAACTTGGCTCGTTCCATGGCATTAGCGATGGAAGAGTTTTATCGAGTCATATCTTGTTGTAGCATTTCTGCTGCTACTGGAGAAGGTATGGATGAGTTATGGAACTGCATTCAAGTAAGTAAAAAGAAACAGATTTATAATGGGATAGCTAAGTATCTTAGAAAGCAGCCAAAGAATTTTCCTCTTTTCGAAATGAGAAAAATCATATTTCCATGAAACAGGTAACTGAATATATTTTTTTGTTATAGTATTGGAATCAAAACTGGTTATTTGGAATAGGAAGCGGCTTCATCGGAAATGCAATCACAAGGCGCTTCTTCATCTCAAGAAACAAGTCGCCAAAGAATTGCTAAGAAGCTGATATGCCAACCAACGGAACAATCCAAACAAATAACACAGGATACTTTCTTACAACGGGATGTAGAAACAACTTCTCTTGTAGAACAAATGAATGAAGAAGAAGAAGAATATCAAGCGCTTCTCAATCAATTCTCCACTTCATGGCCATCTTCACAATAAAATGAGGATTATGGTTTGTCCATTTTGGAAGACCTTTTAAAGGTCTCAAAATATGTCATTTGCTGAGCCAACTTATAAGCAACGAAGCTTTTGAAAAGTAATGGGAAAAGGTGCAGCCACAAGAGGTCGCTATAAATACGAATTGTGGCCTGCAAATAACAAGTTCTTTTGTGGAGGAAAAGTAATTACCGGCCCTGACTATAGAAATACTTTTGCTACTTTGTTATTGGTCATCATTCCAGTAGGACTCTATTTTGGTATAATGTAAGTTTTTCCTTTTATATTAACCTCGGTTCTTCATTTCCTTTTCAAGCATTGCATACCTTACTTCCCACTGGAAGGCGGGAGGCTACACTTTCTTAGCACTTACCATCTTCTTTGCTTGCATATCTATAATAACTTTGTTATTAACTGCAACAGATGACCCTGGAATTATTCCTAGACAATCCGTGGAACCAAGAGACGTTATTAGAAATCCTAGAACAGGTTTTCCACTTCCGAAGGAAATTATCGTGAATGGCCACCCTTACTCTTTGAAATATTGTGGTATGAACTGTTGAAAGATATCCTTTTCTCCATATTGATTGTATTGTAGAAACTTGTAGAATATGGAGACCATTGAGAGCTTCCCACTGTTCAACTTGTAACAACTGTGTCGAAAGGTTTGACCATCACTGTCCTTGGTTAGGAAACTGTATTGGTATCACAACAAGTTGTGGAAAAATGTTCTTTTCGTTATTGAATTTTTCTATAGGAAGACGAAACTATCGAACATTTTATATTTTTATTTGTTCTACGACCATTTTATGCTGTTTAGTCATTGCGAGTGCAGCTGTCAGTTTGAAATTGAAAACAGATGCATCATCTCTTCATCACAGTGATGCTGAAGCCTTTGGCTTTGCTTTAGCAAGTCCTTTGGTAGTAAGTTGAAAGAGAGCGTTGAACATACATGTATTCATAACGCTTTGTTTAGATATCGTTTATACTTATCATTTATTGTTTTATAGCTATGTTATTTACTGGTGGTCTATTTATTTTTCATACTATTCTTGTTTTCCGCAATCGTACTACAGCAGAAACTGTAAGCAAGCAAACATTTTAAGTGATAGTTTGGCTCATTTTATTGAAAAGTTGAAATACTCATGGAAGGAAGTGACAACCTTGGAACCTAGAGGCTTGCATTCCTTTTGTCATCTCATTTGTGGAAAGAAACCACCCAGTAAAATAAAAGTAGGAGTGGAACATCCTACTAGAGTTACCCCATTCAAGTAAGTATAGTAATACTATGTGTAGAGTAGGGAATGTATCTTTTGAGAGTTTAGAGTCATGATGCGCCGAGATGAAGAAGAAGAAGAAGAAGAGAATGGTAGGAATGAGATAGAGGAGAATACCAATGATGGACATTCTCGTGAGTGGAACAAGTTACATTATCTTCAACAACAAGATGAGGAACAACAAATATGATGTTTTTATGATTCCTAAGGCAGTGCACTATTTTGTAAAAAATTTTCACGATAGAGAAAAGCAATAAAGTCCATTAAGATCCTTTGCTGTTTCTCCACATGCTTTTGTACAAACAAGGTATACAAGTTGGGACGATAAGAAGGGAGGAAAACTTGGTCACCAAGAGCTGAACTCTGACTTTTTGGTTTCTTTTGCTTTTTGAAGTTTTTGGGTTCTTGTCTATCAGCCTGGTTTGACGAGGGTGCTTCGGCAGAGTCCGTTGTTTTCTCTTCATATACTTTAGCCACTAACTGTAAAGCATTCCATTGTTTATGGTTTGTTTGTTCGATTTTTTTTGCACTTGGCCACTTTTTTCGTCTTTCTTCAATATAGCGGGCAATTTCTTCCGGACTTTCCTTGTTTGTGTTGTTATATGTAGTAGGAGCAACCATCCTTCTTCTTTTGTTCGTATTTATTTCTGGTTTTGTTCGTCTTTTCTTACCCCAAGGTTTCCATTGACTATAATGGTTGACTAGAGGTATCGAGTTTTGTTCTCGACAGTTGTGCACTTCCGAAGACCAAGGCCTAATTGGCTTGGGTTGATGAGAAACTTGAGTAAAGGTTGGTAGCATAGTTGATGGTTGAAAGTGGTTTTCTGCATTATACATGGATGATGCTTTTTATTTCAAAGACGGTCTTCACTCCTTTTCTCCCTTCATCGTCCAATCCATCCAAGATCCATCATAAACACACGAAGTAAATACATTCAACTGATCCAGTGCCAAATGCACAACGGTGGCTGTGACGCCTGATCCACACATACATATGATTTTCTGGTTGGTTTTGATATCGATACCATGGTTTTCAAAAACTTTCATCAAGTCTTCTTTTGGAAGTAACTCTTGTCCATCTTTTGTCAACAATTGTACAAAAGGGAGGCTCATAGCTTTCTCAATATGACCACTAGGTACTCCTTGTCGTGGTTCCGGTTCTGTTCCATAAAAACGACCAGCTGAACGCGCGTCCAAAATAATTGCAGTGCCTGACTTCAAGGAATCCTTCACTTGTAATCGATCGGCTACTAACTGTGATTGAAACTTGGGTACAAACGTTTTCGAATGGATGCTTTCTTTCTCTTCAATAGGACCTGAAGCCAAAGGATAGCCGTGTTTTTTCCACTCTTCCAAGCCTCCTTTTAAAATAAAACACTGATCTTTGGGCATTCCAAATACTCTGAACATCCACCAAACACGTGCAGCACCTACCAAATGAGGTCTGGAATATATGACTATGGTGTCCTTATCGCTTATTCCTAAACGTGTGCCGACATAGGAAGCAAACTGTTGAGGCGATGGTAACAAATGCGGAACTCGACTATCTTTAGTCACTGCTTCCTCGATATCAAAATAACGAGACTTGGGAGTCCTTTCTTGAAGAAACTCTTCATAGAAACTTGAATGACGACCATCTGGAGAAAAGCGCCAAGAGGCATCCACCACTTGAACTTTATCCAAGTTTTGAAACAACCACTCACTACTTACAAAACAAGTATGAGAGGCTGACATGGTGGAATAACAATATCTGGAAGAGGTGTACAACTTGAACCACTTCCAATGACGAAAAGTAGAAATGCTATTTATTCCATTTGGAGTGATCGAGGTCATCAACATGACAACCTCTTCAAAGCCCACAACCCACAAAATGATCTTCGTCTCTTAAATAACTTCCTACATCTGCTTGATTCAAAACTATCAAGTCGGTCGAACTAGCTTGTTGTACTTCCAAAGAAGAACGAGCAGAAACACCAAACCCAAGAGGTATTTCACTCTGATTGAATACAACAACTTGTTGATTTTTGGGCGTATTTTCCGTCATTCTAGCAACTCCACCTTTCAATACATTATTTCCATACAAAAATGACATTTCGGATTGTGGTTTCAACCAAACTTTGTACTATAAACTCTATCTTCAGTAGACCATAGTCAGTCCAAGTCACTCTCCTATACCTTTGCTAATCTTGCCAAATATGTTACAAAAGTGATATGCACTTGAAATCTACCACCGTGAGTAAATTTTCCAACACATATTCCCAAACTTGCCAAATTATGTCTCGCTATATTTGTGGCGGCAGCAGCAACAACCTCCCTCGCATAGTACACTCTATCCTTTTGTAGCCTAATATTTCAAACTTTTGAACTAGGTGTGGACAACAATTGATTACTTACCGGAAACAGTAGTTTTCGTTAGAGTCTTCTACCAATGCTTTGATATCTTTACCAATAAATTTGGCTAGTTTCTCAAAAACCACACGGAGTTCCTCTTCTGTCAAATTGCGCATTCCTCGACGGAGTTGAAATAATCGATGTTGTCAATGGCTATAAGAGATGAAACACATTTTCCATTCTATGTAAATCATTGCGTCTCAAATGAAATGTCCAAAAAAATAATTCTATCATATTGTGGTGTTGTATTACTTTTGATTCATGGAAAGAAACCTGGATTTCATTATCTCTTGAAATGACTTTACACTCTTATATATCCAAACATTTACTATTTATTCCATAGCAATCACAAACTGTGGAGAATTCACTTTCCACATTAACCAACTGACATACGTTCTATATGGTCGATATGGCTCAAATAAGGCTTCCCATTCTTCTTTCTTCTTCCATCTTTTCTGCTGATCAGACAAACCAAAAAATTTAATCGCACCTTTACGAACACCTAAATCTCCAAAAGGCAATACATCCTTTCTTTGTAAGGCAAATATCATCAACATATGTATGGTCCATTCCCCTATTCCTTTGACAGTTAACAATCGTGAAGTGAGATCATGATCGGACAAGCTAGCCAACTCATCATCACTCAGCGTTCCATCTGCAAACAACTGGGCTAACCCTTTCAAATATTCCACCTTTCGTTGCGATAATCCAGCCTGTCTCAGTTGAGCTTGTTCCAAGTTTACAATTCGGTTAGCAATTTCCACCTCTGTCACAGTGCCTTGTAACAGACTATGTAGTCTTTCCATGATAGCTTTTGCTGCCTTTCCACTCAATTGTTGAGAGACGATGGCTTTTATCAAACTTGGAAAAACGAGTTGCCTTTCTAAATGAGGTAAACCATATTCTGCAATGAGGGGTATCCAAGACTCGTTTTGTTGACACAAGAAATATGCGATGGACAACAACTCTTTATGGTTGGCAAACTTGTTCTCTAATTGTAGCCATGTACTGAAATGGGGTTCTTTAGTATTTCTTATTGAGAGACGTCTTCTTTTCTTTGGAAAGTCTTCCAATAACATCCCCCTCAAAAAAAGAAGAATAGAAAAGGGCGCTCATTGTACATTTTTCTTTCTTTATCCAGCACAACAAGACAATCGGGACACATCTTTGAAAAACATTTGAGCACATAACTTGATTGCTTCTACAAATGTCAAATAAGGAAACAATTCTTCTGCCAATTGTTTCACTGTCATTTTACATCGCATAGCAATATCAATAGTTTGTATCATGTCTCCTCCACAAGGTGCAATAATAACAGCGCCAATGAGTAACAGACTATTTCTTTCTATCAACAATTTGATACATCCACGTTCATCGAAATTCACCAACGCTCGAGGAAGATGACAGAAATGAAAGACTCTACTATCTGTCTCTATGCCATGATATTTGGCTTGCTGTTCGGTCATTCCTATAGTAGCCACTTGAGGATCTGTAAATACGACACCAGGAACGATGGAAAGATCCAAGCGATATAAAGATGATGATGAATCACAATGAGTTGTTGTACAAGCAGATTGACAACCTTTCAAGCTGCCAACTATATTCTTTGCAGCTTTGGTCCCTGCAGCTGCTGCAACATAAACATATTTCGGAATATTGGTGCAGTCACCCACTGCATAAATATCCTCACAACTGGTCTGCAAATATTCATTGACAACAATATCTCGTTTCTCATCCATCTTGATAGGAATATGATCCAATCCCATGTTATCCACATTTGCCTTTCTACCACTTGCAATTAATAACTGGTCTCCACTTAAATGACGTTTATCAGTTAGCTCCAACTCAAATTGTCCATTAACGTAGCTAACATGATCAACCTTACAGTGCAATTCTACTACAACTCCTTCTTGTTGTAGAATTTTACACATGGTAGAATTTATCAAGGGATCTTCTCTAGATAACAATGTCGATCTTGCCAGAATAGTTACTTTACTTCCTAAACGTCTATAAGATTGTCCAAGTTCCAACGCTATGTAGGACCCTCCTATGATAATCAAATGATGAGGTAGTTCTGTAGCCATGAGTGCTTCGGTTGAAGTCCAATAAGGTGTCTGTGATAGACCTTCAATATTAGGAGGAATGGAAGGAGAAGAGCCGGTTGCTATGATAGCCTTTTTAAAATGAACTTGATAGGATTCACTTTCTTGTTTTTCGACAATCAACTGGTGTTGCGAGAGAAATTGGGCAAATCCTGATAACAAAGTTATATTAGAATAACCTCGAATGACATCCAGATATTTAGCAGTTCGAAGTTGTTCTACTCTATTCTTTTGTTGAACTCGATATTTCTCCAATTCAAACAATGGAGTGCTGCTATGGTTACCTGTTATTCTACCTATATGATCATAGTTTCCACTGTGCAGCAGTGAGGCTACATGAATCTGCATTTTAGAAGGTACACAACCCACGTTGACACAAGTACCACCTATTGTTCCGTGATTGACCAACAAGATGGATAAACCACTCTCTGCTGCTTCCAAGGCAGCTGCAACAAGCATGAAGCAATCCACAACCAACGACAACCAATGTCTGAATAAATGTACAATCTATCAATACCGTCACCAACCAACAAGAAGGATAAACCACTATCTGCTGCTTCCAGACAGGAAACAAAAATGAAGAATCCACCCACCAAAGATAACAAGGATCTGAATAAATGTCAATCACATATATCATACCAAACACCTAACGGTCAAGTTGACACCGAAAATAAAAAAAGAAACAAAAAGAAATTCTACGTAGAAAGTGATGAGGATTTGATAATTCATTCCATATTTTATACAAAGATTATCTTTTTTGTTGACACCGAAAATAAAAAAATTCACAACTAGCACATTTCAACAAAAAGAAAGATATATCTTCTGAACACACAAAAAGAAACTCACAAAGAAAGCTTTGTTCATACCTACACCTGTGCCTCGATATCTTCATGGACAAAGGACAAGTCTTAAACGACAACCTAAGCATCCACTCCTTTGGCCTTGTATAAACGATAAGCATAATCTGTTCCAAACAAATAGTCATTCCAAATAAAACTAGAAGCATAATTTCCAGAATATATCTTATGATGATGATCATGAAACTCTGCTCCACCATAAAAAGGTATCAAGAAACGTGGGCTCCAAGGAAAGTCATATCCGCTATGGGCTTCAACAGTTTGAACCAGTCTCAAACCCAAATATATCCAAAGAGTCAATAAGTGAGGTCCAATGAGCATGGGACCTGCAATAGAAGCCGTTCCTAGAAATACCACTTCTACTGGATGGGCATATTCTGCAGTTATTCCAAAAGGAGAAGAGTGTAGATGATGTACGGCGTGTACTTTGCGGTAAAGATAAGGAGTATGTAAGGCTCTGTGTCCCCAATAAAAGATAAAGTCTTCGATGACAAAGAAAAGAAACACTTGAGACGCAATCTCTCCTATACCAGGTAAAGGTAGCTCATCTCGAGTTCCCATAAAAGCAAAAAAGGGATGAGTTACAATAATAAGAGGCAAAACTAACAAAAAATGGTTCCTCAACACTCCTACAACGCAATTCCATTGACTATTTGAGTCTACTTCCCTGTCCTTTTGTATTTTCCACTTTCGAAAATAGGGCAAGGCGTCGGCTATAAGAAAAGGTACATAACTACCCCAATAACAAACTTCGTGAATAATAAAGGTACCCAAAGTATGTAGTTGAAACTCTGAGAAGTTTTCAAGCAACCAACTCCAACTTTGTTCTAACGACAACATGTGGCGCTTGAGAAAGTTTACACAAAATGTTCACTCTTCAATAATCCTTTTTGGGGGGAGGGGAATAAAACTGCATTCTTTTCTCTTTATAAATAACAACTCAACTTTGAAAAAAAGGAGATAATCACTTTGCAAACTAACTTTTCGAGTGAATGGGACAGTGCCTATTACTAAAGATAAATTCAATCAAAAGATGTCTTCTTATGAACAAAGCTTACCCCTTCAAGTTATCAGCGTTGCCATGAAAAGTAATAGTATTATAGTCAGCCGTAAAGCCCGATATATGAGAAGCTTTGGGTACAAAGCTGGGTAACACGGGACATTTTTGAGCTTGTCGCACAGGGTGGTCGACTATGCCAAACATCCACCCAGACTTTTGAATAATATCCAGAATTTCCTGTTCATTCCCCCTCAGATGGATATTTCTAGCTACATGGATACTACTCTTCTTTTCAGTTCTCATACAAGTTGTTTTCGAACAAAGCACCCAAACTAGGCTTTGAATAACAATTCCTCTCCTCCTCTATCTGATAAGATGATCAGGATTCCCCTCCAATCCTTTTCCACCATTCATTTAACGTCCTTTTTTCTTCATGGCTTTTAGACTTACTGTTGATTGCTATTAACATAAATTTGAAATTCCATTTAGAAATAAACTTCTCTATGGATTATTTCTTATTTCTAAAATATGTATCGAAGAATCTTTTGCCAAAGTAAGACTAGAATGTTACCAATCGAATTTGAATATAAGAATAGTTGAATCAATTGGAAGCAACAGCAAATAATAATACTACAGAGCAAGCTATCTTCAGCATGCAGCTCTCATTCTTTTGTCATTGCTATTGTGCAAAAGATATTCTTCAAAAGCTGTGGAAGAACGGCGACTTCCCAACAGATCGATTGGACACTCTTAGGGACAAGTTGCGATTGGCAAGAGAGGCAACTCTCTGCTGGTGGTGGGGTTGGTTGATAAGATGAATCATACTACGTCAGGAACTAGAAAAAATAAATATATTGCAGTGCCACAAGAAGGTGAAGAACTCACCATGTTGGATACTCAAGATGCTCAAGTACTTGAACAAGAACCAGTTAAGTTGTCTAACAATTCAGTCAGCGGAGAAAACTAACGCCAAAGTACCAAAGGCCTATTATTTATTCGAAAACCCAGAATTCTCTTCTTCTTGGTTGTCTAAAATAACTTTTAGCTGGTTAAATCCTTTGTTAAGATATGGCGCTCAAAATCCATTGGTGGGTAGATAATACAACTATTTGCAAGAAAGCCAATTAGTGTTGGGACTAGGAAGAGAAGGATTTATGGGGTTTACACTCTTCTGACCAAACTGTGCAACTTTCCAAAGAGTTTGAAGAATCCTGGGAGAAGGAATATATTCGTTGTCAGAGGACGGACGACTCTTCCCAACAATTCATTGAACTAGAAACTTTTGACAGTCAACAACAGCCTTTTCTGGTCGAGTCAGCAGACCAAGTTTCTCCTGTTGAAGAACAACAATCAAGTGTGGAAAGAGAGACCGTTCGCAAAAGATTTTTGAGTGGTATTCGAGAGGTCTTTCGAAAACCAAAACAGCCTTCTGTGGCGCTTGCCATTGGGTAGGATTACGACGTGGAAAATTTTTGGTTAACTCATATTAAACTTGTGTTGTAGACGTGCTTTTGGATGGCCATTTTTGAAAGCTGCTCCTCTAAAGTTTGTCTATGATTGTTTGCAATTTGTAGGACCAGTTGTATTGAATGGGATTCTGGTGTATTTAAAACAACCATCGGAATCCGTACTCGTTGGACTTGGATATTGTTTGCTATTAACGTGCGTTACCTCTTTTCATGGAAACCGTTGGGTATAACAAAGACCTAATATGTAGGATGGGAATGTCATTGCAGTCGTTATTTTTGCAGTCCTACTTTATGAAATGCTATCGTATAGGTAAGAGAGAGAGATATATTGTCAAATTGTGAATAACATGGAATAGGATTGCATGTACGAAATGGAGTAAGTGCTGCTGTGTTCCAAAAGTCTCTTCGGTTGGATACAGAAGCAAGAAATTCTTCAACTGTTGGTGAAATGGTAAATCTTATTGCAGTAGATGCCCAACGAATAGGTTTGTTTTTTCAAGGTTATTTGTTTCTTTGTATGCCCATTTCTAGGTCTTTCACTTTTTCCCTATTTGCATTTATTATGGAGTGGTCCATTTCAAATCATCGTTTCGATGATTTTTCTTTATAACGTTATTGGCATTGCTGCCTTTGCCGGTAAAGAAAGAATTTTGGGAGGAAATTTTTTGAGTCTTTATATTTTTGAATGTTTAGGTTTAGCATTGATGCTAGCCTTGATACCATTGAATTTGGTTCTTGCGAGGATAATGCGAAGATTATCGCAATCTCTTATGAAAAGAAAAGATAATAGAGTGTGTTGTGTTCCAATCGTATTGCATCATATGATTCAAGTTTGTTATTAGGTTCGAGCGGTAAATGAAATGCTTTTGGGTATTCGTCAAATCAAACTTTTTGCTTGGGAAGATAGTATCAAGAAGCATATTTTAGAGTTGAGAGGTATTTGGTTGCTAGTCTATTGTGCATGTATTGTACACTCATGAAAAGAATAGAATTGGAAGTTCAAAGTTTAAGAAAACTCATGATATACAATGCAGTGAGTGGTTTTGTATGGCAATTTACACCAGTGAGTTGTGTAAATTCATATTCATTGGCAATACCTTAAAGTCATTTTTAGGTAGCTGTTGCTGCAGTATCTTTTTCTATCATGTCTTTGGATGCTAGTATAGAATTAACACCTGCTCGAGCATTTTCAGCTTTAACTTTATTTAACATCCTTCGCTTTCCTCTCAATGTATTTCCAGATTTGATTAGCTCTCTCATTGACGTAAGGAAGACTAGTGGAATGGTTGTAAGCCTTATTTTTATATTATTATGTAGGGTGTTGTATCCAGTAGACGTATTCAGCACTTTTTATTGCAAAGCCAAGTGCAAGGAAGAAAGTCTGAACCAGTAGTGGAGCAGGTATTGAAACTCTTGTTTTTTATCTATCAGTAGTAATTGTGTTTAGAGTGAAGAAGATATTGTGGCTGCAATGAATGGAGGTAATTATTATTGGAATAGACAGGACCAGAGAAATAGAAGGAAACCTATTTTACAGAATATTCATTTTCAAGTGAATCGTGGTCAGTTGATTGCTATTGTGGGTCCAGTATGTGGAAAGAGCTGTGTGTTATTCTTTTGTTAGTAATACTTTTAAGGTTGGTTGTGGCAAGACTTCTATTCTTTCTGCTTTATTGGGAGAAATGGTGGATGATTTGCCTTTAGAAGGAAAAGCTTTTGTGAAAGGAAAAGTTTCTTATTCTCCTCAAGTAAGTTTTAGCTTTTCTATGGGAATCAATCTATTGATAATTTTTACAAGGTTCCTTGGGTTATAAACCAAACCTTTCGTGAAAATATTTTATTTGGTGAAGAATATGATGAGGAACGTTATTATCAAACATTGGATAGTTGTGCCCTGCTTCCTGATTTGGATATACTTCCTGCTGGAGATAGGACAGAAATTGGAGAAAAGGGAATCAATCTTTCTGGAGGTCAAAAGGCAAGGATAGCTTTAGCGAGGGCTTGTTATAGAGATAGCGATGTATATATGCTTGGTAAGATGAAAGACCAAAGAAGTATAAATAAGTTGGATGAAAATGATGTATATATAGATGACCCTTTAAGTGCTGTGGATACTCATGTAGCCAAGCAATTGTTTGATATGGCTATTGATGGACCTTTATTAAAAGGGAAAACCAAAATATTGGTAACTCATCATATTGATTTTCTATCGAGGTAAGTAGAATAAGGATATTTTTATGTTTGAAAAAACTGTATTTTGGAACAGAGCGGATACTATTTTGGTTGTACATCAAGGCCAATTGATAGATCAAGGAACCTTTGATGATTTAATAGCTCGAGCTTCTATTGGTAGTTCTGTTCGAGCCTCCTCTTCACCTGCACAGTTATCACCTCAATGGAAAGGAAGAATGAATGGAGAAGCAGATGAACCAATACTCCATCGCGAACAATCCATTTCTATATCGTTGGAACAAGCCAACGGACACAAGGAAGAAACCATCTCATCCTCTGATAATGAAGACTCTTTATTGGATAAGAAGATTCTTAGCAACTCGGATTTGAGTTTGGAAGAAGAAGATGAAATGACAGTCTTAAGTAAGAAGCAACCATCAGAAGAAATGGTTTCAAGTCCATCGGAACAAAATGATGATTCCAAGGTAAACTATGAGAAAATGGAAGTGATATCGATGCTTATTGATATGCATATATATATATATAGGCCAAGTTAACTATAGATGAAGAACGTTTTACGGGACGTGTAAAGTTTGCTATCTATATTGCCTATTTCTTGGCAGTTGGAGGATTCTTTTTCACTTTTACAATATTTTCAGGTACAAAAACATATGGAAAGAAAAGGGAATGACTAGAAGTCAATGCATATTTATCTTAGGAACTTGTGCACAAGGACTACGAATAGCTGTAGATGCTTGGTTATCTGCGTGGTCTGATAGTGTATCCAATGATACACCAGCTTCACATTCTACTCTTTATTATGTGTCTATTTATATTGGATTGGCATTGGGCAATGCATTGTTCATCTTGTTGAGGTGAGAACATCGTGTGGCCAATCATATCATCTTTCTTAATCATAATTATTTAGGCAATTGATTTGGATTCTCGGTGGTTTGATAGCTTCACAAGGAATGCATCAGCGCATGTTGAATACAGTTATAAGAGCTCCCATGAGATTCTTCGATGCTACTCCTGTCGGTAGAATTTTGAATAGGTAGGTTGAATGTCTCTCGATGCTATTCATCGTAGACTGATTGTTATGAAGATTTGCCAAAGATCAGGAAGCACTGGATCGGTCGCTTCCACAATCTATGTCTTCCGTATTCAATTCTCTTTTTACTATGATTGGAGGCATTTTAGTGACCATTTTTGTAACTCCTTTGGTAATTGATGACATAGTTGTAGAGGAATTGTCATGAGTAACCTTTGTATATAGATTGTATTGGTTCTTGTACCACTTGCTTGGATTTATCGCTTAATCAGTACTTTTTATTTACAAACCAATCGAGAGTTGAAACGTTTGGAGTCCATTACTCGAAGTCCATTTTTAGCACATTTTGGAGAGACGTAAGTGGGGATAGTCAACGAATGGTTTTTATGTTGTGACTGATATAATCAGTTTGAATGGAGTGACATGTATTAGAGCCTTTGATGCACAGTCTATGTTTCGCAATCAGAATTTTGCCTTGTTGGATAAGAATTCCAAACCAACATTGTATAGTGTGGCTTGTAATCGATGGTTGGGTAAGAAAGTCATGGAATATAGAGTCATTATATATATAAATATGAATAGGTATTCGTTTGGATGTAGTAGGAGTTTGTTTGGTATCCGTTGCTGCCTTATTGGCAACTTTAGCCAAAGGTCATATTGATTCAGGATTGGCAGGATTGAGTATTACTTATGCATTACAGGTAGAATGGGGGAATGATTGTGACTGAAAATATCATGAACACTTGAAGTAGGTAACGGGTACTCTTAGTTGGTTTATCAGAATGAGTACCGATACGGAAACTCAAATGAACTCTGTGGAGCGCATATTGTATTATGGAAATTTGGAATCGGAGAGTGCTTATGATGTTCCTGGTAGGATATTTGTCTCATTTTATTGAGAATGATACGGAATGATGTGTTGTGTTGAATAGAAAGAGATCCTTCTCCTGAAGAATGGCCAAAATTAGGCCGTGTAGTATTTGAAAATGTAGTAATGCAATATCGTCCAGAAATGGAACCTGCTCTTCGTGGAATATCTTTTGTCATAGAAAGTGGACAAAAGGTTGGTATTGTAGGAAGGACTGGAGCTGGAAAGAGTTCCTTGACTTTGGCATTGTTTCGTATGGTGGAATTGACGAGTGGAAGGTAAAAGGATAATCAATTGAGTTGGATGAAGAACTCAAGTGGAATAGAATTTGGGTGGATGATATCGATATCTCTCAAATAGGATTGCGTACTTTGCGTAGTAGAATTTCTATTATTACTCAGGATCCTATTTTATTCACTGGTACAGTTCGTTCCAATTTGGATCCCTTTCAAGAGTAAGCATAGAATTATGTGATTGGTTTTTGAAAAATGAGAGAGAAAAATAGTTTTGATGAAGCTCGTATATGGCAAGCATTGGCTCAAGCACATTTGAAAAATTATATAGAATCTCTTCCGTTTGGTTTGGATACTATTGTAGCAGATGGTGGAGAAAATTTCTCTGCTGGTCAACGACAACTTTTATGTTTGGCACGTTGTTTATTAAGAAAGACCAAGGTTGGTTTGGTTCGCACTATTTGTAGACAGACTTAACTTGGATGGTATAGATTATCGTTATGGATGAAGCAACTGCAGCTTGTGATATGCAAACAGATGAACTTATTCAAAGCACTATACGTTCCGAGTTTTCTGATTGTACTCTTATTATTATAGCACATCGACTCAAAACGGTTATTGATGCCGATACAATAGTTGTGTTGCAACATGGAAAGGTGGTACAGATGGGGTCTCCCAAGGTCTTGTTGAGTGATCCTATGAGTGAATTGAGTTTATTAGTAGACCAATTGGGACCATCAACAGCTAGAAAATTACGCAAAGCAGCTGGAATCGCATAATTTGTGAGATAAAGAGAGAGTTTTTGTGAAGCATCGAAAAATCTCCCGTCAAGTGAACGATGATGATGTTGGGTTTTATCTCGTTCTCTCATGTAGATAGGAAACTCCGTTTCTTCCAACCTCATCGTCGTTGTTGCACTACCTCACACCCAAAAAGTGGTTTTTCAATAACTCACCTTCGTATCAACTTGCACATGTCACAACTCCAAGCCTTGTTATTTGACTGCGATGGAGTGTTGGCTGAAACAGAAAGGGATGGACATCGAGTTGCTTTCAATAGAGCATTCGAATATTTTGACCTGAACACTTATTGGGATGTAGAAACTTATGGACGTCTGTTACAAATAGGTGGTGGGAAGGAGAGAATGGTTACTTATTGGAGAGAACACGGATGGCCAACAAAGTTACTTTCTGGGAACCAACCAGCTGTCTCATCATCGACCACCAATGATGACCTTGTTACTCAACAGTTGAATATTGCAAAGAAAATACACGAAAAGAAGACAGAGTTGTTTATGGAAATGGTACGAAATGGTGAAATATCGTTGAGGCCCGGGATTCTCCGATGGATAAAGACAGCTTTCGAGAAGCAGTTACAAGTCGCCATTTGTTCCACTTCCAACGAAAAAGCGGTACAAGGATTGGTCGTTCACTTGTTTCCAGACTATATTGCTACAAGGATCCCTATCTTTGCAGGTGACCAAGTAAAAGAGAAAAAACCTGCGCCGGATATCTATGAATTGGCTGTAATGAAACTAGGATTGAATAAAAAACAATGTTTAGTGATAGAAGATAGCAATGGTAAGTGAGGTCATACTAGTCTGGTAGCTTGAAGAATGACTTGTCACAGTGGGATTGAGGGCTGCCAAAGCTGCTGGATTACCTTGTGTTATAACCAAAAGTTATTACACTCATCAAGAGGACTTTTCTATGGCGGATGCTGTATACAATAGTGCAGAAGAGTGGAGTTGGGATAGTTTAGAGAAACTACTTTTGTTAGCAAATCATAAATGAGAAATGTTGAGCTCTGCTTTTGGGGAAATAGCCACAGTCATCGTATTTCGGTTATCAGACTTGATTTATCTCTTTTTTTTTTGAGGGGGGGAGGTAAGGACGACGCGTCCTCGTCAAGGAAAAAAATTGATAGTGCACGGAATATAAAGAATGGCTACGAAAAGAATAACAAAGGTAGGTTTCGAAAGACACCCACCTGAACACTCTCACGTTATTTCACAAAGGAATTACAAGACTTGGGTAGAGACCCCCCTTCTAACTGTAGTGCGGGGCCCGTAGGGGATGACCTCTTTCATTGGCAAGCTACTATCATGGGCCCCGTAAGCCTAACGGTTTTAATCCTTTCGTGTTATTGCTCACATTGCTTTCTTTTTTAGCCGGACTCTCCTTATGCCGGTGGAGTATTCTTTCTCAATATTCACTTTCCAACAGACTATCCTTTCAAGCCGCCTAAAGTAAGATGTTTTTTTTTACTCAACGATGTATAAACTCGCCCCGCCTATAGGTTCAATTCACTACCCGTATATATCATCCCAATATCAACTCCAATGGAAGTATTTGTTTGGATATTCTCCGAGATCAATGGAGTCCAGCTTTGACCATATCCAAAGTTCTATTGTCCATTTGTTCTTTGTTGACGGATCCTAATCCAGATGACCCGCTCGTTCCAGAAATTGCTCAGTTGTACAAGACCAACAGAGGGAAATATGAAGAAACTGCTAGAGAATGGACAAGGAAATATGCTATGTGAGAAAGGCGGTTACTCATGCTTTTGTGTTTTTACAGATAAACGTCTAATGGATTTTTGCTAGTATTCATTCATTCATTCAATGTAAAGAATTTTTTGTGCTAACCTTTGGTATTTTTCGATCAGTATTGCTTGAATATGTGACGCTGACTTGCTCTTGTGTTAACCAGCTCTGTTATTGACATTCAAGTCCGAGCTTTGTCTTTTCAAAATATTATCAAGTTCAGTCTAGTTTGTCTTTCCTTTATCCTTTACAAAATGTTTTCTTTGATGATTTACAGCTTGAACCTCAAAGAGCTCAACTAAAAGCACAACATAACCAGAAAAGAAATTTTGTTCATGCTGCAAAAACCATAAAAAAGATCGACCAACGTGCGAACGAAAATTGACAAGAAGTTGCTCTCAAAAGTGTGATTCTATTCTAGCCAACAAAAGTTGTTGTAACAGAACATTTCAAATATGGAATGTACACTTTCTGTAAAAAACGAATTCGAAAATTATTTTCCAAATCAATTCTAACTTACACTGTGTCAGAAAATTGCAATTTTGCCAAAGTAAAACGGTATGTAAGTCATTGCCTTAAAAATCAATAAGAAGTTAATTATTTTAAAATTACAAAAACCCAAATTATTTAAGCTGAAGGATTCTCCTAAAATCTAAAGAAAATAAACATTGTATATAAGAGCAATCATAGTTTCTTTCAAAATTATATAATGTAGGTGATGTTATAAAGGTTATGTGATTCATTAAAAACTGAAAAGCAATCTTTTTAAAATTATTTTTAATAATCAAAAGATTAAAAATTTTTCAAATTCGAAAAATATTCGAAGAAATATGAAACTATTCTTTTAGTTTTTTATCAATAAGGATGAGAAACGACTGTTGAGCTGGATTCAAATTTTTTATATTTATTTATTTTTCTATTTTTTTGAACTCTTTGTTACTTTCAGATACGTTTAGACTTAGCTCATTTTTTTAAGCGGAAAATTAGTTTATATTGTTTTTAACTTACTTTAAGGGAGCTTTGTCATTAAATTACAGACGTGAAGAATGCTTGTTTTTTTTGTTAACGTAGATGCAAACATTTGACCAAATTTAAGAGGCAATAATCTCTACCAAGCTTTCAGGACCTTTTTTTATCATGTTATGTCAGATAGCTTTTTAGGCTTTTTAGTTATCGTATTTAGCGTTTTACTTGGCTACTATTTCTTGCTGTCGAATTTTTCTTAAAATATTAAGAACAGAATTTTTTTTTGTAATTTTTATATGCTTCATACTTGATGAAAAATGTTTTTCTTAAAACAATTTTTAACTTCAATGAAGTATATTTGTCAGTTTCTACATTTGCGTTAATGAAATTGTCTTGATTTCCTTAAAATTTGAGCTCGATAAGAAGTAGGTTCATTCATTCATTTCCGTGTGGCTGGCATAATGTCATTTGTATTCCATTCCTTTCCATATGAAAAAGATTTCAAAGGTCTAAGAAGTTGGCGTGGTTACAGGAAGTATTGCAAGCACAAAGTAGCAGTGTCGTTGGGAGTGTGTATGTGTAGTTCTGTACAGCAAAACTTATCCAATGCACTGAGTGGCAAGCCTGAAACTGTAAATTCAAGGAGCAATGTAACGAGTCCGAAGAGTGATAAAGCAGTGTGGTACTTTGCATATGGTTCTAATCTATCTCCAAAGGTTTTTGGACCTCGTTCTTCCAATATTTGGAGAAGATTTCAATATCTGGAAGCGACAAAAGCACGTTTACCTGGTTTCCGACTTGTTTTCAATGTCCGTGGCATACCTTTGTTGGAACCTTGTTTTGCAAATATTCGAGAAGACCCAGATGGTATTGTAACTGGCGTGTTGTACAAGTTGAGCTATAGTGACTGGAAGAGATTGACAAGAAGTGAGGGTGTAGATATAACTGGTGTTTATAAGGAAAGGAGCGTTAGAGTCTTGAAAGAAGACAGTGGCGAAACACTCATGGCTTTTACTCTAGTTGCAGAAGATAGTCGTTTTACTTTTGCCGAAGAAGTTATGCCGTCTTCGAGGTATCTCCGTTTGGTTTTGGATGGCATGCAACATTGGAAGTTGAATAGTGTTCATCGTTTTTTGGGTTTGAAACAAGAGAAGGATATAGCATCTCACTCTGTCTCGAGTCGCCCTGCCTTTGCTGTAGTGAATACACTTGCAGGTTTCCTACCTGCAGATCTTGTTTCGTTTTCATCCGTAGCGCACTGGGAGACAGGAGCATTGCGTTTTCTCAAGGTGCCTTCTCAACCGTTGGAAGAGAGTTGTGTAGAAAACTCTCAAACTTTCATCAGCGAATATTCTTCTTCCGCGAAATCTCAAGTGAAACCCGTCTTGTTGTATTTACCAGGTATTGATGGAACAGGTTTAGGTATACTTCCACAACTGGATGCACTTCGTAAGCATTTTGATGTGCATTGTCTTGTATGGCCATCTTCAAAATTGTACAATTGGCAACAACTTGTAGACAAAACTCTCGTATTGATCGAAGATATCATAAGTAAAGAGCGTTCGCAAGGTTGGTCATTGGAAGATTCATCAAAAGTTTGGTTAGTTGCAGAAAGTATGGGATGTTGTCTTGCTTTATTACTGGCGGAGAAAAGACCTGAATTATTTGAACACATAACTTTAGTCAATCCTGCCACAAGTTATTCGAGGTCATTTTTCTCGAGTATATTATCAAAACTGGATACGCTTCCACCATTGGTTTATCAAGTTGCACCAGTTGCCATCTCCCCTCTTTTATTAGACTTTGGACGGAGATTGTCGCAACCTGACAAACTTTTACATGCCGCTCGAAGTTTACCAAAGTTATCGGAAATTCTTCCTCCAGAAACACTTGGTCACCGTATTCGTCTTATTGAGAAGTTTTCGGCAAATGTCAAAGAATGGAGACGATTGAAAACTAAAGTTTTGATTATTGCCTCTGTGAATGATCTTCTCATTCCTTCCTATGCCGAGTCGGAGAGACTTTTAGATATATTTCCAAAGTCAGTGCGTTATATTAGTCACTATGGAGGTCATGGACTATTATTAGAACGTGATATTGGTTTATCACAACTTATTCTACGCTCGCATGAGATATTATCTTCTTCAGAGTCAAGCAACACTAAATATCAAAACATTTATCCCGGGGAGAAAACTCTTCCGGTTGCCAATGTGAGTCACTTAGGTTCAACTGAAGAGTCCCATGATGAAGATTTCAAGTTCCCATCTCTAGAAGACATCCATAGAGCCAAACAACAACTTTTACTGTACAATAAGATTTTTTCACCTGTTTTTATTGGTACTAATCGTGTTCCTGAGCAGAGAGGACGTCCTATTCTATTTGTAGGAAATCATACTTTGTATGGAATTACTGATGTCCCCTTTTTTATCGAACATTTTTTGAGCAAAAGAAATATTCTGATTCGAGCATTGGCACATCCAATATTTTGGAATTGGCAATCCCGTGATAGAAGTTCTCGTCTTTCTCGTTCCTTATGGGATGATTCCTCTCGTTTTCTGGAAGTTATGGAACGTTTTGGTTCTGTTCCTGCCACTCCTCGTAATTTATATCGTCTTCTTGAGAAGAAGCAGTCTGTTTTGTTGTTTCCCGGTGGTGCAAGAGAAGCATTTAAACGCAAAGACGAAGCTTATTCCTTACATTGGCCTCGTGAAGCAGAATTTGTTCGAATGGCTATTCGACATGATGCTTGGATTGTTCCTTTTTCTTGTGTAGGTCCTGAAGATAACTTTCAAATTATTTTGGATGGAGAAGAGTTGATTCAACTTCCTCTAGTGGGGCGTTTGATGGAGTCTTTGTTTTCTCTTTCCGATATGCCAAAGGGAGATGTTGTTCGTGAGTGGAAAGGCCCATTGAACAAACAAGACCTTGTGAATTTTATTCAACCCTTATCCATTCCACGTTCTCCACACCGAATTTACTTTTACTTTTCTTCTCCTATTGATAGTAGATTGTATACATCAGCAATGAAGAATAGAAGCCAAGTAGAAGAAATGTACGGTAATATTCGTGACCAAGTGGAAAATGGGATTAGATATTTATTGGATAAAAGGAAAGAAGATCCCTTTGAAGTTTGGTGGAAACGTATAGTATTTGAATCTGTTACAGGTGTAGCAGCGCCAACTAAGTGGCAATGGTCACTTCGAGATGGATATTTGGATAGATTATAAAATTTGTCCCAACATCGATTTGTAAAGACAAATTTCATCCTTGAAATAAGTTTTGATTTCCTTAAGATTCTGAAGGAAGAGGGGTGCATAGAATAGGAAATGGATAATGAATGGAGAGAGATATTCTTATGTATCATCTTGAGGCATATCTTTCTTCTTGAAAGCTCACGATTCGACGAAATCTTAGAATATTCATCGGGGAAGGTCCGGGTTTGCCCAGCAAACAACGTGTAAGTTGGTTTGCTCGAGAGAGCACCATCACAACTCAAAAAGTGGTGGTCCTACTTACCAGAAATGACACTCGCTCTGTATATCTTTATCTGTTACACTTTCTCCTCCTACATATATACACTCTGGTATAGGCTGTTTGCACAAGACATAAAGGGTAGGCTTTTATGGATGCAAACCCCCCATATATATACAAAGAGTGTGTTATGGAGAGGAGTGTAACTGGAACAGGATATAGAGCAAAGGTGGAACAAATGGGTGGGTTGGGCAACTGCTTGTTGTGGGTTTTACAACAAGCAAAGTACAATTCGTGAGGTCGTTGATATTCTCCTATTATCTGAGTAAGAGTTCTCTCTTTCTCTCTCTTCTTCCTATCAATGATACAAGACTTTCTCTCCTATCCATTTCCTATATAGATAGGATATGCAACGATAACTGAATCCGGACTACTCTTCAAGAATGAAAGCATATGTTACTCTTTTACCATCCAATTTTTGGGTTGAAGAGGGAGGATGGTTGGGTTCCACAAGACTAGCAGCAGTAGTGGTTATTATCCAAAGTATCCTGTTTATTCATTCGTATCAGCTCAATTTGATAATAAACCATGGGTAGGAAATAAAAGTAGGACAATTCTAATAAAGTAACGTCCAAATAGGTAAAGCGCTCGCTGTTGAGCAAGTTTTCTCGCCATGGGTTGATTTCCATCGGAACGAGTCCTCATAACACTCGTCGATTGACAAAGGCTTGTCTAAAAGCTACTGCAGTGTCTAGTCAAATAACTATTGCACAACAAGACTTACTGGACTATGTCCTCCCTCTGGACTTGGGAAGAAAAGCACTGAACAATAGTGCCATGAAAGCAGTAGTCAACGAAAAATTGGGTAAGCCTAGAAGCGCTCACCTTTTGGGGTTTTGTATAATCTTGTGTGCATTTCTATAGCACTCTTAGAACTGATGAATCCTATTCCTGTACCTGTGGATTCACCGGAATTGGATGGCAGGTGGCGTTTGCTGTATACCGATTCCGAACTTGTTTTGGGTGTGTCAAGGCCACGCTGGTTTCAACCTGTTGGTGCGCTATATCAGACTATATTCTTGGACACTTTGGAAGCGGAGAACGCTGAAACCATCAAGCCTTTTGGTATATCTTTAGAGAACAAAGTGTGGGCAACTTTGACTAAATCACCACCTAAAAAAGTATTTTTACAATTTCGACGGTTTCAGTTTGGACCGATTAGGTTTTCTGCACCTACAAACGCACGAGGCTTTTTAGAAACCACATTTTTGGATCACCGAATGCGCATTTCTCGTGATCATAGAAAACATGTGTTTGTATTGGTGAAGGAATAATGAATATCAAAAATAGGGATAATTGTATTTTTGAGTATATAGTCAGGAGGATAATGATCGGCGGGTGTATGTTTTTGTATAAAATTGCATAAACAAAAGCAAATAAGAACCGTTACAAACGATGCTAATTATCCAAGCAGGTATACCACCACAACTATGAGTCGTTCTCCATTGCCAATAGAGATAGGGAATACTCAATAAGAAGGAACATACAAACTGGATAATTTGCATCGTTGTTATCCATCTTCGCCAAGGCACTTGAATATGCATAGCCTAGAGAGAGCCCATTTTCAAAATGAAATACAAAAAGAAGCAACGAGAATACTTGCCGAAACAGCAAAATAAGCGTACATCCAAATATGAATAAAAGTATTGAAGAGCATTCCCTAGAGCAAAAAGAATAAGAATATTCAAAGAAAAGATCGATATTACACACCAAACTTGCAAAAGTGAGACCAAAACGGACCCACGCCCACGTTTCCAACAAAACGGAAGCATGATGCCACACCTAGCAGGAATCAATATTCACTACAACTCTTGAATGCAACAGATAACTTACATGAAGAAAAGTAAGTTGCTTTCCACGACAAATCAAGATGAACGTATCCAACAACTCATAAAACTTGGACAAGTGGAATATATATAACCAAGAGATGATGGAAGGTGATGAAAATGAGAAGAGTGATGCTTCAGTCATCGTCGAATAAGGACAATAGATAGCTTTCCAGCCATCTTTACTCCAGGTGTCTTTCAGAGCCTTGGTTATACCTACGAACATCCATAAACTAGCCAAAGCCAATAACAAGTTATGCAACACGACAATAAGTTGTAGCTGATACGGTTTCCTGATGAGTTTTCGAACAACCACCACTGAAGAGAAATAGAATAGCCAAGTTATGAGTAACGTCGTCAGGTCAGGCCACATCCCATCAAAAATTTTGATGATAAACTCGTATCGTGATTAAGTAACAATCCCGTACAAGTTTAAAGAATGTGCAGCAAAAAAAAGTTATCAAAAGAAGAGGATATGAAATGACTCAATATATCAGCTGAAGCAATCTGTTTATAACTGAAATTGTAAATGGAAACTGAAGCATCATAAGGACATATTTACCTCGTGTTAAAAGAACAAAATAATGACTGATCCAGAAAAATTGGAAAAATGCCATAGTGAAATATATTTATGAAGTGATGACAAACAATAAAGAAAATGGCGCCACCATCTCGTGGAAAATCCAAAAGAAAAATGCTATTTGTGGTTTCGACCAACTTACTTTATTCGTTATCCTGGAAAAGATTTGTTTCCTATCAAAACTTTCCTTCCAAATATATTTATCCTAGTTACTGGAGTAGAGCAAAGCAACAGTACAAGTGGTTGCCTTTCCGGCACCGTTTTGTACCATCCTTGCGACGACTAGCTATCTCCTGTTGCTCCCATGCTCCAAGTTCCATTGCAGTAAACAATGTCAAAAAGACAAAGGCTAAGACGCATCTATCAACTTTCCTTTTGCCAAGTAACGAAAACAGCCCTTTGCTTCTGAAAATTAGACACACTTGTGCCCACGTGATGGCAATGGCTGTACAAAAGCTATTTCCAGAAGCCAAAGTAACTATTGGTCCTTGGATAGATAATGGCTTTTATTACGATTTTTCTCTAAGGACTCCTTTTACAGACGAAGACTTGAAAAATATTGAGAAGGAGATGAAAAGGATCATTCAGAGGAAGTTGCCTCTGAGGAGGGAAGTCGTCTCTAGGGAAGAAGCCAAGAAAAGAATCCAAGAAATACAAGAACCATACAAGTTGGAAATATTGGATTCTATTGTAGAAGAACCCATCACGATATACTATATCGGAAATGAGTGGTGGGATTTATGTGCAGGTCCACATGTTGAACATACTGGAATCATAAATGCTGAAGCTTTTCGACTGGAAACAATAGCTGGCGCTTACTGGAGAGGAGATGAGAATAGAGAAATGTTGCAGAGAATTTATGGAACAGCTTGGGAAACGAAAGAACAGTTAGAAGAGTACTTGAAACAAAAAGAAGAGGCTAAAAAACGGGATCACCGAGTAATTGGACAGCAATTGGATTTGTTTAGTATCCAAGAAGAAGCAGGAAGTGGACTAGTATTTTGGCATCCTAAGGGTGCTTTGGTTCGCAACTTGATGGAGGACTTTTGGAGAAGAGAACATCTGAAGCATGGGTACGTAGTTGCCTTTTGGAATTGTACCAACAAGGATGAAAAAATATTTTTATAGTTATGAGTTGTTGAATACACCGCATATTGCCAAGGTCGACCTTTGGAAAGTCTCTGGACATTATGATTTTTATAGAGACTCGATGTTTCAGCAGATACAAGTGGAAAACGAACCATATCAATTGAAACCTATGAATTGCCCCTTTCATTGTCTTGTTTACAAAAATTCTTTAAAGTCTTATCGCGACCTTCCTATTCGATGGGCAGAATTGGGTACAGTATATCGGTGAGCTATATATTTTTACATTTTTTTGTGTAGGAGATGTAACTTTTCAATAGTTATGAGCGTTCTGGAACTTTGCACGGTTTGATGAGAGTTCGTGGGTTTACCCAAGATGATGCTCATATATTTTGCCTTGAAGAGCAACTGAGTCAGGAAATCCGAATGGTACTTTTACTTGCCCAAAGGATTTTAAGTCGGTTCGGTTTCCATGAATTTGAAGTTACTTTATCCACGAGGCCAGAAAAGTATGTGGGAAGTGATGAGATATGGGAAAGAGCTACCAATGCTCTCAAGGAAGCAATGGAAGCAGAGGTGAGTATTTATTTTTTGTCATCTCGCGTTAGAAATCTACTAACAAATGTCTGTCCATAGAATTGGCGTTATATGATTGATCAAGGCGGAGGTGCTTTTTATGGACCAAAAATTGATATCAAAGTTAGAGATGCAATTGGAAGATTATGGCAGTGTTCCACTATACAGTGTGATTTTAACCTTCCCGAGCGTTTTCAGTTAGAATATGTTTCCAATGAAGGCGTTAGGAGGCGACCTATTATGGTACATCGTGCTATCTTTGGTTCATTGGAACGTTTCTTTGGTATTTTGTTGGAAAACTGTGCTGGTGATCTTCCTTTGTGGTTGGCTCCTGTTCAGTTGAAATGGATCGGTCTCTCCGAAGAAGCTAAAGCAACTTGCAACAAATATTATGAATATGCCCAACAGGTAAGTATAATATTGGATATACAAACCTTTGTGACATATGTATTGTTTTCCATTCACAGAAAGGCTTACGTACTCAAGTGGATCAGTCTGGAGACCGTATTTCTAAATGTATTCGCAATGGAGAACTTGAAAAGATACCATTGATGGCCATTGTAGGACCCAAGGAACTGCAAACGGGTCTCATCAGTGTGCGGTCGAGAAGTTTAGGAGATTTGGGTCAGTTATCGTTGGAAACTTTGTTGAACAAAATGGTTAGTGCTACTCAAGAAGCTTGTGATTTACAAGATATATTATGAAAAGACTGTCTCATGGATGCATCGAAAATCATGTCGCAACAACCTTCTCTGAGCTATTTTCACTCCGCATAATAAATTGTTCCAATCTTCGAGCATGAGGAAAAGCAATCCATTTCAAATGACCCAACAATAACCAAGGAATAAGGATCAACCAACCTATATTTATGCATGTCAAGAATTGCAAACCGAAATAAACTGGAACGTACTTAAAGCCTGACATACAAAGGCAAACATATCAATAGCAATGACTTGAACCAAACTAATAGAAGGACCACAAACTTGCTCATAAACAGTTGTAAGTGGAATAGTCAATATTGTACAGTTGGTGACAGTTGCAAGTTCATCCTGTGAGTCGTGTGAGCGATGCATATTGTTTTCTATGAAAACATACCAATAAGAAGGGAACCAATTCGTTCAGAAACTGCGTATTATTGAGTTGCAAAAAACTTTCAATGGTAGGTAAGTTGGATGCCAACTAAAAGTTTGCACTCAGAAAAAAGCACAAAGCATAAGATATGAAAACTTACCGTAACTACCGTATCCAGTACATTGCTTGGTAAGGAAGGACAGACAATTCCTTTTTGAATAAATACATTCTGCTGAACCAACGTTGGAGATAACGAGTTATTAGAATTGTATTCATCCACTTGCTTTAAAGAGATACAAGTATCGCCAACTGTGGTGCCAAGACCGATGAATAGCGCTATACACCACCATGCAAGTAACAAAGCAAAAATAGAGCTGATATAATGAACTATATGCCATCTTCCCACATGAAAACGACTCGTTGAATAATAAAAATAATAAAATGCCAATATCTGAAGCGATATAATGATCAGAACACCAATAAAAGAATAATATACTACTCGATGTCCATAACTCGCCACAGCATTCATGGTGGATATCGTTCCATTCAATGAAGAAACAAATGATGAAACTTGCGAGTTGATTTGTTGCAAACTTGACTCAATAGAAGAGTCGAACGAACTAGGAAGCGCTGAAGTAACTAGCTGTTCGAAATAGTGGACGGAAGAAGTTGCCAAGTTAGCAGTATCCGTAAAATTCTTTGCTGCAGAATCAATTACTTGGAAGATTTCGTCTGCAGAATAATCAATCGATACAGTTGATATATACCCAAGAGATATACTAAAGAACAGTATAAAGTACAATAAAGTAGAAATTTCTGTGCGACATAAAATGGAAAGCTTTGAGGAGCGAATTATTTCACTAGGTGGGACAGGCGTATATCCCAAGCTTTCCGTTCTCCTTTTGTAAAGAGTGTAAACCAAGACTGCTAATAGATATATTAAACATACGACAGCACCACTTATCAACCAAGGAAGACAAGTGTAAAACTGATGAATTGCGTCTACAAGACCACAACGTGTCAAGTTTTTATAGCGTTGAAGAGGGTCTTCTTACACTTTTCTGTGAATTCAAGAGTATTGTTACCTCCAAGACGAGGATAATCATGGAAAAGACCAACCCAAACAGAAGTTGGCAAAGCACTTATATTTTTCTCCGTCAAGCTCATATTATTTCTTTGACCCAAGCAAATCAGCAACTTGCAGATGTTCTTCAATCCAATCAATCGTTGGAAGGCAATTCTTTTTGCCCAACTGAACAACAAATGTCACAGAGTTTTTGTGAGACGCCTTTTCATTTGATATGAACACGTGGAAAGTACTTGTTAGAAACGAATGAAAGGATAGTTTGATAATAGTGAAAAATTGGTCAAGCCCTATTATAAAGAATGGGAAGTGTAGCGAGAGGACTGTGAAGTGTTCCGTTATTCAACCGATAATTGACTTTGCCAAGTTATCTACCCTTGTTGCAAACGAAAGATGCTTGACTATAGAAACAAGCATTGTTCATATTCATTTTCGTTTCCCAGAAAACAGAAGAGTGAAAATCTTAAGCATGTATTACTTTTTAGACTGTTCAAAAAATGTGCTTTAGGAACTCCAAAGTTGTCACTTTACTGTTTCCCCAGTTATTTTGTTTCACTTGATTTATTCAGAAAACTGCATTTTTTTGATATATGAACGTTAAGATGATAGTATAGCAAGTTACCTGATTCCTTGTATGCCATGTCACGAGAAAGAGTTCAAGTAGGAGTATCCTTTGCTGCTAAGAAACCGTTTTTACTTTTCTTATAAAGCGTTCTATGAATAATGTATTTATTGTGAACATAAACGTTTTTGTTGTTCCTTTGGTGATCCAATGAGAAAGAACGAAGGAATAGGAAGACAATGTATTCATTTCATTAAAATTCGATACGGCTATCTATCTCATAGAGACGTTGCTTTGATTGGTTTCTTATTCAATGCTTTGTATCAAACTTCTTCAAGGTGGAGCTGCGCTTGGACATCTATTGTACTAAAGA